GTGTTGGGACATTCTTTTGAACAGTGGCTGCTTTGTTTCCCCGATGTATAACTGGTCGCAGTCCTCCTGCCACTGGGACATCATGTTTAGAAAATAAACGTCTCAGTTTCTCCAAAATACCCGCAACATACGGAATAACCACTGGTTTGGGTCTGGGTTTGGGGTCTTCATTTTCACCTGAAGGTTGCATGGAATCCTGTCTGTGTTTCCTGTCTGGAAGAGCAAAACTATTAATTAGTATTAAATACTATATCAGAAAAAAATTGAGAACAAAAGTGTTAGCTATTTATCGAGCTACTAGTAACGTCTTTACTAATTTAGCAAAAATAGCTAGCTATCTAATTAGCATGTGACATTATTTAGCTAGCTAGTATAACATGGCAGGCTGCTAATTGCTGTCTTTAATTAAATCTGGTAGCTTTCTAATTAACAACCTAGCTAAATATCTAATGACTTCTTTACTATTTAGCGCATTTGTACTGTTAAAAGTTAATAGCTATTAATGTAGCAGGCTGCTAACGGCTAATTTATTAAATATGGTAATTTGCAAAATTACTAGCTATTTATGGCAGGCTGCCAGTGGCTTTTTAAATTAAATCTGATGACGTGCAAAAATGCTATCTATCCAACCAGCTAGTAACTTATTTACTATTTATTTAGACACTTGTAAAAAAAGTTATAGGCAGCTAGTATTGTTGTCATTAGCAGAAAGCCACAAAGACATGACTTGTTCTCATTTATTTGATAAATCTTTAAAAAAAATACCTAAAATACCAGGCGATCAGACATAAAGTACATTTTGCATCAACAAGATGAGACGTTAACAGGGGATGTTAGCTGAAAACGTTTCATGAAATTGATGATTGGCAGAGTCCTGTCAGGACTTTATCCTTAAGGAGTATCATGAATTGTTTGTCTGAAATAAAATGTTCATTTATCCTTCTTTTGTCCACTTCTCTTATGTTTTTAAAGAACGTTGTCTTGTTGGACTGGGCAGAAAACGAGTGAAAAAGCAAGCCAAAGGCCAAAGAAAATTTTGTCAAAGTCTAAAGAATTATTGATGGTGATCATTTTAAAAGACGGCTCCTTGAAAACAAATTTCATAGAAACTAGAGGTGGTTTTAAGCAAAATAATCCCAACACCGTACCTTGATAATATTCCCCAGTGTTTGTGTGTTTGACAGTGGAAACAGACAGCACAGTAAGACCTCCCTCCACTCCCCTGGTTCTCCCTCTGCGAGAGGAATTCTGTACCGTGTGTCTGAACTTCTTCACTGAGCTTTCAAGGAAAACTAAAACACATAGGCCTCCCAGTTTCAACCCCAAAATACTTCCTCCCCAGTCCCTCCACCTCCTCCTTTTCCTTCCCTTCTCACTTTCCCTCACACCCTCTGTGTGGCGCTTTTTTTAATTCATTTTTTATGGTTTTGACCTCCCTGCTCCTTAGACCTTCCACCCGGCTACGGAGTGACGGAGCTAATTTTGCACGTCCTGTAACATGGACATTTCCATAATTGYAGCAAACAAGTCTCTCATGAGGCCGAAGACAGGAGGGCGAGGAAGAGGGGGAGAAAGGCTTTTTGTTTGACCAAAGTACACTATGTGAAAGAGTGGGCGGTGAGGAAAAAGGGAGCTGGAAATACATTTGAGAACGGTTGCGTTGGCTGTGGCATTTGTGGCCCAGAAACTTCAACCCTCGGATCCAAATGTTTGGAGTGGAAAAAGTTTGGAAAAGACCAAAGAAAAACAGAAAAAAAATTTGAGTAAAGAACAAAAAACAGCCTCTGTTGCTCTAAATGCCCATTCTGTTGTAATTTTGAATTATAGGAAGGAAGTAATTTTTCAGCACCGATATCAACAGTCCCACATCAGCTGGAGGAACAAAAGCTGCGACCATGTTCTGCATCCAGAGAGCTTCCTGTGGCCTGCGCTGAAGCAGGAAGTCATAAAGACAGGAGGACTTCCTGTATTGTTGCCAACTCACAGCAGGAAAAAAAAATGTACACGATTGGAGAAAACCAGGGTCTCATCATGTAAAGCCATAAAAACAACACTTTCAGCCTCATCAAACAGGCCAGAACTGGATTTTTTATGCTAACTGTTCCTGTCAGCGCACTTAGCCAATGTGTAAATAAACTAAAACGGCTTTAAAATACAGACATATAAAAAAAACACTTTCATTTGAACATTTAGTGATTACCCGTAGTTTATCTGGTTATCTCCACAACCACTTAAAAAAATAGACAATTGCTTTATCTCAAATATCTTCAGATTTATGTCAAAAATAAAGAGTTACGACAAAACACTTCAATGTAACAAATAAATGTCCTCTTTTGGCTTCCGTACAAAACTTGCTGCTCATTGGTTTTCTGGGCTTTGACATTCTGTGTCAACAAAACTGAACTTAACGAAGTTCAAAGCAAATTCTTGACCTTACAGTGAGGTCTTTAGAGATTTATTTTGTTCTCAGGGTGATGAAAGATCACATGGTGAAAGCTCCAGAAGACATCATGCTTCCATATGGATTAATTCACACAAGTTTGAAATGTCCGAATAATTATAAAAATAAAGGTTCACCTGTTTCCGTCTCCTCAATCGTCCTTACAGGGTTTAAGTGAAATCAGAGTGACTCAGACTTGATGACGACTTTTACCTTGGGACACAAAAAAAAATAAAGGTTTGTATTTGAGGGGAAAAAAGCTCTCTCTTTCACCGAACCAAACTTTTAAGAAAAAGCATCACGAGGAACCTTCTTGCTAATGTTTAAGGTCAGTCATTGATTTATAGATTGTGTGAGCATGTGGGAAAAAAAGAAAGAAAGAAAGAAAAAACCTGGTAGACATGGTTTAAAATAAATGTAGGTCTTGAAAACCTCCAGGGAGTCTCTCTGTGTGTCCAACRTGAACAGAGAACAAAGGTTTTAGGTGTGGGGTCGAGCAGGTTTGTTTTTACAAAGCGCTTAGAGAAACAGGAGCATCTGCAGGTGTCTGTGTGTGCTGCTTGTTTCTGGTTCCTACATCCCAACACTGAAAGATGAAGGCAGAACAACAGGGATGCAGCCAGTGGCGGCCCAGTGGGGTAAATTGCTACCCCTTAAAAAACTGGTGCCCCTTGGCAGTTTTACATCCATTTTTTTAAATATAAAATAAATTTAGAAGGGGGCAAGCTTAAATAAGTTATAAGTGTAAAAAATTTAATAGACAACAATAATTAATAATAACTGATAGCATTTTCACAAATATAACAAATGGTGAAGTAATGGGGGGTATTTTGATGACTGATGTCAGTGACCATTTACCCATTTTCACAATTCATATATATGATCAATACAAAAGTAGTTACAATCAAGAAAAAAAACAATAAACACATAAAAGCTTTGGATAAATTAAAGGACGATTTGGGAAAACAAAACTGGAAAGATGTGTATGTTGAAAATGTGAACAAAACAAAAGATGTAGTCATGAATATTTTAGGAACTTTGTATGAAAGAAAATGTGGCAAAAATACTGTATATACAAAAAGAAATGTTGACAAACCATGGATGACTAAAGGGTTGAGAAACGCTTTAAAAAAAATTGCTTGTATTCATGCTTCCTGAAATTCTGTCATTGTTTTGCTACCTTTCATTTATTTGTATTTTTGTTGTTTTTGAAGAAATTAATAAACTAATAGACAGGCATCAGAAAGTGATCAGGCTTTTAAACTAAAATGCTCAGGGGGGCCACAGCTACTGAAAGCCAACATTCAGTGACCAGATATCCAGCAATTAAATAGTCAACATTATTTTTAAATTAAAAAACTAATTTAAAATAAGCAAGATTTAAAATAAAAAAAATTTTTTTATTCATTTAATTTTATAATAAATGAAGTCATTGGCAGGCAGGTTGTTTAAYCCCGTCATGAATCATCAGGATTACCACTCTGAAATATTTGTCATTCAAGTCTTAAAGAAATGAAATTATCAAACTCATCAGTGGACCAGATTAAAGTCACCAATGGGCCAGTATTGGCCCATGGGCCTCCAGTTGAAAAGTCCCACCCTAACTCCTTTGTTGCTATAATTGCCAAACTATATAGGACAACAAAATAAATCAAAATTTGATTGTTTCAACCCCCAATAAAACCTTTTTGGAGGTTTTGTTATGATTTTGAAATAAAATTGCAGAAAATAATTGATCCAAGATGGCTGCCATTGAAAGTAAAAAGGTAGCTTTAAATTCAGTCCCTTTTAAAGATAATGAGCAACAATTTGGTGTGGTAGTGGTCATTAAAATCCATCCAGCTATTCATGAATTATTTTACTAACACAAATCTAGGCTTGATTGCCTCTAATGGCAGGAACTAGAATTGAAAATAAGACTCGTTTAAATTGAACAAATCTTGATCCAGGCATTTATTAAGAAGTCTTTAAGCCTTTATATCCAATGTCGGCTAAATTCTTAAGGAGGGTGGCGTGTGTGTGTGTGTGTGTGTGTGTGTGAGTGAGGGGAGGGGGGTGATTAGCTCTGATGACAAGCTGCCGCCCTCAAGTGCAACCGATCCGATCGGTGGGAGTGTCAAACGTGACTAATGCGCCGCAGAAGACTCCAAAAAACAATTAGGCCATTTTTATTCCCCCCACACTAGAGTGTGACATCTGCGTTGTGGTGGGAGGCCATCTGAACCGGACCGCCTGTCTTCAACACTTCATGCAGATGTCCCCCCGCCCCACCATTGACTCCCTTGTTTAGTTGTTTCCCCCCACAAACAACCAAAATTCATCAGCTAAAACAGTAAAATAAAAAAGAAACAAGTTTGTATTGTTGTACGTCATTTTTCTTTCCAAGCAACAACAAAAACAGTTTTACACCAATGGCATATTTTACAACAAGTCCCCGTTCGGTACAATCGATCCCTCACAGGGTGGTGGGCAGCAGGAATAGAGAAAACATTTCAGACAAGCAGCAGCACCACTTTTGTACACACGAGTGTACCTCAGTTCTAACAACGCAACGATTGAAATCACACGGCCTCTTGAAGGGCCCGCTCCTCTTCCTCCTCCTCGAGCCCTCCCATCGTCCATGACAGCCGAGGAGAAACGTTTTCCCGCACCGCAGGCAGTTTGATGAAGCCTTGGTGGGAGGACGGGGGCAGGAAGGGGAGCTCCAAACGGCAGAATTATTACACTTGTTTGCTCTTCCTCTACAGACTAAAAAAATACATTTAAGCATTTGGCTGAAAATTGAGGTGTTAAGAAAATGAGAACATCTCCAAAATACAGAAAAAAACCAAAAACATTTCAGCTCATCCATTTGTCTTTGGACGTCTCACGCGTTACTATTATTAGGATGTTTAATAATAAAACTGCATTGTTGCGTTTAAAAACTTCAAAAAGTCGTGACCAGAACAAAAACTCTCCAAAGACAAACACACGGGTGAAACTCAGAGGAAAAAAAAAGACATGAACTCGAACATTAAAACTTGTTCTTTTGCTGTGGCCGGTTTGTATCAAACCCCACCGGTAAAATTTCACAGGCGGCATCAAGGTTAAAGCGTACGCTCGTCTCCGCTCTGACCTTTATCTCAAAAAGATTCACACGAGCCGACTGCGAGGCGAGACGGTTCTTTTCTCCTCGCTGCCAAACAAAACACCAGGAGACTGAGAAAAAAKAAATGTACAGCTTAATCGTAAAACAATGTGTCCAGACAGGAGCGGTGCTGTCAGAGGAGGACAGCTTAGTGTTGTTGCTGTTTGCGTTTTGGCACCAACAAACCCTGCAGTGATTAAGTCCTCGGTCACTGGAGAAGCAAAAAAACAAAAAAGTAAAACTGTCCATCAAGTCAATAGATCACTGCCACTCCAAACAAGCTGAAAAGAGTTCTTCTTACCAGTCCAAAAAATAGTYAAAAATATTTAATATACTCTGCTATGATGACTCTATTAGTGCTAAAGTGGGGCAGAGAGAAAGGAAACAAGGCCAGGCACTTAAGTGCTTATGCATAGTGAAGATTAAAGAGCCAAAAAAAAAAAGATTGTGAGAAAAGGGGATAGAAACCAAGAGTGTCAAAGGATTTAGAGCTAAAGCACTTTCATTTATTCATTAAAATTTCAAACAGTTTGGTGTCGTTTGAATTCACTGAGAAAACCTGTTAGCTTTTCCAGGCGCTAACGTGCTAGCATTAGCATGGCTATTGATGAGAGTGCCTGTCCTCAGCTGTTTGTACCGTTTTGTTGTTTCCTGAGTTGAAGGAGACTTAGTGTCTGGAGCTAATAGCCCTAATGGGATTGCTTGGCTCTATATCAGGGGTCTAACCCTGAGCTGTGGTCAGCAGGACAGTGAATTTACATCCTGGCATGGGGCTAATATGATAATCTGATCCAGCCGGCTTGAAGCTAGCGGAGCTACTCTGTTCCCTGCTACAAGTGCCGTGTTGTTTCAAGCCTGTGGATTTTAATACTTTAGACTATGGCTCGCTGAGAAGAAGTAAACAAAGGTTGGAGGGGGAAAGACAAGGAGAAGTTTAAATGCAGCACAGCAATGAACGCTGCTCTAACACCAGTTGGCACTGAGCTAACAGCAGCTTTGCTAATATTTCCTACAGTAGAAGGTTAGCAGATAGATAGCTTAGTACCATCTTTATATTTAATGTTAGCAGAAGTGCTGCGTTCATGTTGTACTGGATTGATTCTGAATTTGTTATTGAAGGAAAAAAAACAACGCAAAAATTTCCRCGCTGCACCACCAGGTGGCGACAATGTTAACATTTCAAGAGAGAGATTTAAAAGTCCTAACTTGGTCACAGCTTCTCCCAAAATGTTTGTAGCTTGTATTTTTTCTTCGATACCATATTTTGTGAGAAACAACTTCTTCAGCGTGATTGATGACAGAAATTGAATAAAGCAAAACAGATGGTGAAAATAATTAAAAACCGTCCGTGCTCAATTGCTGTTGTGGCTTCTGGGGTGTTGTGATTGTTTCTGAAAAGTTCAGTTTAAACTCCACTTTGAAAACATTTAAATTAAAAAATACCATAAAAAGTGGTTTGAACGTAGACGGGTTGTGCAAAAAGATAAAGGTTTTTTCAACATTTACAAAAAAAGTGTTGAAAAAATTAGAGCTTAGATGAACAAACAGGTGTGTTCATAAATTTAATCAGAAGTTCCTACTGAACAAGAACTGTTTTACCAATTAATTCTCTAAACATTTCATTTTTAAAGATTTAAGGATTTCAATAAGTCATTTCCCTTTTTTCCAGCTTTTATTAAACCTGAATATCGGCCATGATAAAAGCCTGTTGATTTCAGATATATTTTAACTGATCTGTGTACAACTAACGACCTTGATATTCTATGTTAAGTGTTTTGATTTAAACTTAAATGCTTAAAGTTTGTGTACCTAGTAAGTGTTTTGTTGGTTTCTTTGTGTTTCTGTGCATTTTCTCTTCACAACCAGAACCACTGCAGCCATAGTTTGGTCACTGAATAAGTACGATGCTTAAACCAAAGCAGACGATGGCGTCACTGTGTGGGAGTTTTAGATCTTCTGCTGAAAAGGGGCCTGTTTCAAATTACAGACACTGTAAATATTTTGTCTATACACTCACACGGAAACCAGGAGTGGTTTAGTAAAACACGAGGCTTTCGTGTATTCTTGTTAACGCTGAAGTGATTGACTGTAATCACACAGAGGAAACTTCCCAACCTTTTTAACGTGGATCCTGTACGACATGAACGCAGCAGCGACAAAACAAAGCTACCTGTCTCAATCAGCACCTTCAGCTCATTTGTAAAAACATCAAAATWAAACATCAAACCTAAAGCTTTAGTTAGATCTCTGTAAAATAGTTACACTCTAAACATGAGGCACTTAAACTTATTTTTTACAAGTTGTCTCTTTTTGTTTTGAAACCAGACAAACACATTTGGAACTTTTTGTAATTAGAAGATTTACAAACGAGAAAGTTTTTCATTTTTGTACCGTCCTGTGATTGGCTTTCATTTAAGGAATGAGAGCAGCTAATAGCTTTTTAAGAGTGTCGTTTGGCACACATCCACGTTGGTCTGATTCACCAACCAGATGAGGAGAAAACAATAAAATAAAAAGAGGTTTCCATCAGTTTCTGTCAAAGTGCTTCAGGGTCACATCCGGTCCAGCTGCTCTCATGTGATTGGTTGTCACAAAACAAGAAAAAAAAAAGATAAACAAACGTAGAGCATCGAAGCGCTTTGAGTGGTACCGGATTGTCTCCTGGAGGATGACCCACCAACATCAGCACTCTGGAAGACAGAAGCAGGAGAAGAAACAACTCTGTTAGACGTGAAATAAACAACAAATCAGATATGRAGAAGGGAATCAGGACATGTTTATTTATTCTGTCATTTTTTATCAGGTTCAGAGCAATCAGAGCTCATTGGTTCTGGCACACAGTGACCCGAGAGCGGACAGCAAGGATCAAACAAGAAGAGAACGAGATAAAAGGGAAAAACTGGGAAGAGGGGGCCAGGGGGATGTCCCCCCGTTGGGTACACAGCCAACGAGTCCCTTGGTGTGTATCTTTAACTTCCCCTAGCTTTTTAAGGTTAGCAGAACCTCATAAACAGTCACATTTCAGCTAAGTTTTTGGCTGTTCTGATCAAATCTTCAGTCTAAAACACGAACAGTGGTTGGCCGTGTTTCCACTGGATGATGACTGTGCTACACTTTCCTGCAGGACCAATCAGAACATGGCTGGATMCCCTACCTTCAATTAGGAAGTAACCGCGATGCTGCTACCCTCCAAGTACTCGTCAAATAGATTTTATTACCATTTTTCCACGTCTTCGTGACGCTCTCCTGTACCCTCACCGTGCTCTGAACACCCATCCTGTCTGTAGCTATGAGATAACACCGGGCCAGTACCAAGGGGTATCATGTTTGTGCAGGAGGTTTGTCACAACCACGGTTATAGCATGAACATACAGCCAACACGGCCGGTCAGTTTTCRATTACCACGTTTTGATGGTTAATATGATCCTGAAGTCATAGACGCACTGACACACCCACATGTTAAGATTTGCCTGAAGGACCACTGCCAAGACCATACATGTTCGGTCAGATTGTTTTTTTAATATCTTATGTGGTTTGTCATTCAGCATTAAGGGGGTCTAGCGCAGGGGTCAATATGATTTGCAAAGAACTTTTGGGCTAAAGAAGTGGTTCCCAAATATGATGTAATTATTCACTCAAGCCCCAATTCGATTATCACAACATCTGAGCAGACAAGGTTATGGGACACCCCCCTGAGTGTTCTGGCATCCCCCCAGGTTGGGAGCCACTGGGCTAATGGACAACTGTGAGGCTCAAACTATGGGTGGGTCTTACAACGCCAATCTTATACCGCAACAACAAATGTATTTTTTAAATTGTATTTTTTTAACGTCATTGTCCAGAAAACCCGATTCACTAGATCACATCAACACATTAGCAAAATACTTATTTTACAATAATAATGTCCCACCTTTATTTGAAATACATCCACGTACAAACAAAACTGTCCCGTTCTTCCACAAACAGTGTGCTGCAGCTTTCTGACCTCAGTGACAAAACATCACTTGTCGACTTTATCATAACTTGCACCTTAGAAGTGTTATTGTTCAGTCTGACACAGATATTTAACCAGACCAGGGTCACCCAGCATGATCATGTTGACGTTTTAACTTAACGTCTTGTTGCGATTAACTAACGGATACATAAAAACTGTTGTCTAATCTGTAAAGTTCTTGTGTGATAAATCGTTTTATGTTAAAAAAAAGGTGAACGAGAAACACATTTCTGCAGTTTGAGCTGCAGGAACAAGACGCTGAGGATCGTAAAGATAAGTAGGTGCTCTTTAAACTTTGGGTTTGTTTCTGTAAGACGTGATGACTCATGCTAAAAGAACCCGGGCTGTCCTTATTTTCCAAGCAAACATTAAAAAAAGGCAGTTCCTACAGAGATGAGGCTTTAGGGAAGAGTTTCTTGTCTCTTTTTGCCTAAAAAGAAATTCCCAGCAGTGCTCAACTCTCTAATTGCACAAGGGTACTCTATATTTATGCTGTTCCTTCTCTCCCCAGTTCATTTTTTTATTTATTTCCCTCCGGTTGCAGTGAGCTATATTTAGCCCCCCTCCCTCTCAGGACAGACGGCAGCCGCCAGCCAGCAGATCTGTGACGGACTAGAACGGAACCGACCATGCAGGCTTTGAAAGAACAAACAAGAAAACTAAACCGTAAAAACTCCAGGATCGGGTGTTTCTCCATCGACACACACACACACTTGTATTTCTATACTTATTAGGACCATTCATTGACTTCCGTTCATTTTAGTCTTTTCCGTAGTCTAACCCTAAACTCAATTCAGAYCTTGGTCCTAAATCTAACCCCCAAACAAAAAAATGGAGTTTCACCATATTAGGACTGGTCTTTGGACCCCAATAGGACTATTGATCTTGTTCTCCAATCCTCAAAGACTGCATTGATGCATTTCCAGCAGTTTCTATAGCCTAACCMTGGCCCCTTACCCCAACTCTAACCATACATACCCAACCGTAAACAAAAGCCTAAACTAATTTCAGACCTTAGTCCTAAGGTAAACCCCCAAACCAGAAATGGGGTTCAACCATATTAGGACTGGTCTTGGATAACCTATTGGTCTTGACAAGGTAGATGTGTCCTAAAAAGGCAAAAAAAAAAAAAAAAAAAAAAAAAAAAATACAAGTATTCACACAAACACCCATGTTCTTCTATCCTCAAAGATTGCTTTGACTTCCATGCATTTCCAGTTGTTTTTATAGCCAAACCCTGGCCCCTTGCCCTAACTCCAACCCCCCAGTACATACCCAACCATAAAAATAAGCCTAAAATCAATTCCCACCTTAGTACCAACTCTAACCCCACACCCAAAAAACAGCATTTGAACTCATGGGGACTGGGGTTTTAGGTTCCCATTAGGAACAGTGGGTCCTCACAAGCCTGTGTGTACCAGGAAAAATGTTGCTAAACGGTCCTCACTATGTAACAAATACATGTATACACACATTACACAGGGATGATATAATCATGAGGATGAGATTCACTTAATAGTGACCTTTCTCCAGTTCAGACATGGGAAATTATACAGATGGGGACAAAAAAAAGCTTCATGCACTGACTCATAATTAAACGTTTCCTCTCCTCGCCACACTTATCAGATATCAGCTTCTTGTTTTCTCTCTCCAGCCCCCGTCTGAGCCTCCCTGGGAGCTTTGTCTATTGATCTTATTCATTTCCTCGAATCGTTTCACCATTTGTGGCYAAATCGATATAATAATGTCCCCAATGGTGACAAGTTTCCTTCTACTCTCTCACAGCTAGACTGTTTAAATCAGAGGGGTTTGTCAGTCTGCGCGTAGCCAAGAGGCTGTTTGTGTGTRCGCAATCAGAAGAGTATGGGTCTATGTGATGTCTTAATCATGTCTGCCTTAAGAAAATAAAAAAATGACAGCCTCCCTGCTGTTTGGTCRTAAATCGAGTGTGTCAGTCTGTCATTTTCATGCCGCAGCAGCTCCCACAAGACACGGGGCTGGACTGAGCAACATGAAGTGAGTCATTCTGTCCACTGTTAAATTACATTACATCTTTCAAGAACTTCAGACGATGTGCTCCATCATCAGCTTCTAAATGAAACGGTGCAGAACAGGGCTAAAACGGCAGCGATGCCGGGAAATCGCTGGAAAGAATGGAGGAGACTAAAACAAGCAGGAACGGTGAACATTTCTGGAGCAAATTAATAGATGCGCCCATGGCGTTCATCACCAAATAAGCATCTCATAAGAGTCGGGGCTGGAAGAAAGTCCCCCTCTCATTTCAGGTGGTAATTTGTGGCTTTGCATTCAGGCAAAAAATCGTGTGGTTCCAACCTACAATCTGAGATGTCCTCATGCAAGAAACTCCCTCAGACTTCGAGTTCAGCCGACCYGGGAGTCATTGAGTGCACGAGTCAAATACATCCAGAGATCTAAAAGAAATCTACATTGGAGGCTGACTMCAGTTTTTCTAACTTGCTAATACCAAATTTAAAACATTGCAATTTCTCTCAACGAATGAAAAGTAACATTTTGATTCCGTAAACTTTTGAGTTATCAACTATAAAATATGAATGATAACTGCATATTTAATAGGAGTGCAACGATACAGAAAATTCACGATTCGGTTCGATATTTTAGTCTCACAGTTGTTATTTTTTCGATATAAAAAAGAGAAATGTCCATGCCCTTTTTAACATGTAATTTATTTAAATTAATTATGAACAATTGTTTAATCTCAAAATACAGTTTTCAAATTAAATGTTGCTGAAACAGCAAGTTACTCAGTAGATCTGCGCTCAAAAATGCAGCCTAGGTAGTTGAACACAGATCCACTGATCCTTCAACACAGAGCATCTTCAGAAGAGAAGCTGTTAAAATAAAATTTAAAAATCTGTATTGTTCGATACAAGTGTGCATTGAACCTAAAGGACTGCATTGAATGGTTCGACATGGGCACATGTATTGTTGCACCCCTAATATTTAACTCTGTTACAAAGTACTCTAAAGCACAGCACAAAAAGTAATTGGTAGATTATTTCTTTGTTGTAACAATGTGTCTTGGCAATAAAACTTGTACTGTTGGAAAGCCTGTTAAGTTTTATATGGTGCCACATTTGTAAGGAACATGCATCTGTGGGGTGAGCAGTAGAGCTATAGGTTGTTCACATAAAGAACTTGTTGTTGTTTTTATTGACTCGTTTTGAGCTTCTGGTACCTCCAGGTGCTCGATATAAGATTTATTGCCAAGAAGCTTTATTACAACAAAGAAATTATCTACCAAATACAACTTTAGTTACTTTTGTGCCAAGTATCGTAATAAATACATAAAAAAACATCAAAATGTTTGATGATGCACTTGGTTCAATGGCTTGTTAGTTAAACTGCAAACTGTTACAACACTCCTGAAATCCAGTCGATTTGTTTTTACACTTGATTTCATTAAATAATCTTTTCCACACGGGTCTGACACGAGCTGAGATCCAGTGTGGAGACAGAAACCTGCACGGCTCCTGTGTCGCCACATTTCATTTCTTCCAGAGACGCCAGAAAGTCTGCCAGTTTTACGTTCTGCACTCTGACCACAGTGTCAGACCCGTCTGTTAGTCATGAATCTGAGGATGACATCTTTGGTCCAAATGATACTCTGCCCAAAAAAATCTATCAGAGGTCCAAACACTTGATCTCCCCCMACAC